GTGCGGGAGCTCGCGTGCTGAAAAGAACTACGTCTGCAGACCGCAAGCTGCAAAAGGTTGCGAGCGGCTCTTGGAAGATGTTTACGGAACGGAGCTAACGTGTCTGAGAACATTGGCATCGAAGCGAAGAGCCTCGGAAACCTGCAGCCTGAGAAGCACCGCAGGAACTCGCATACTGAAAAGGAATGCATTGCAAACCGCACGCTGCGAACCCTGCAGGCTGAGAAGCACCGCAGGATGTCGCATGCTGAAAAGCACTTGTACTGCAGAGCGCAAGCTGCGAAACCTGCAGGCTGAGAAGCACCGCAGGAACTCGCATGCTTTCGAACACTACTGCTCGAGACCGCAGCTGGAGAGCGGCAGACCGCAGGCTGAGAAGCACCGCGGGCAGGGAGGCTTGCAAAACTCAGATCTCCTGATCGTCTTGGAGGAAGTCACGCCAGTCCGGCGGCTGCCAAGAATCGATGATGCGCCGGGAGCCACCGCCCGTGCTGCCGCCGATGTCAAGGTAGTCGCCTCCGGCCCTGCGCAAACGGCCGTGTCCCAACGCCAGAATCGCTTGGTTGCGGATTTCAAGCAGCTCTCCGCTGTCAAACATCTGCAACACGTTCAGCTGCCTGCGCGTGAGGTTCGGCATGTCCTGGCCAGCGTGGGCAGACGGAAGAGCGCCGACACGACGGAGCTCTTCGCGATGGCGGGAAAGCCGCCCCCCCTCGTTGTAGCGCGCGATGGCTTCGGCCTTCTGGTGGTGCAGACGGCGCCGCTGTTCCCGCAGAGCTTCCTCGGGAGCTGCTGTATCACGGTCCTCACTGTGATCAGCTTGCAACGCTTGCGTTAGCATATGAACGTCGAAGCGCCCTGAGAAGGCCAGCACCTCCCAGATCTGTTTGGTGCCGGCCACGCGTTGCAAATGGCGATGCCACCGCTTGCGCTTCTGGTCTTTCACAAACCTGGCGAGGCTACCTAGACCTGCACCCTTGGCCTGGCCACCTTTTCCCGCAGGCTGAGAAGCACCGCGAGAACCTTTCTTACCGCCTGGCCCTTTGCTGGAACCCTGCGGAACCGCATGGCCCCCTTGTGGCGCAGACTTGCCTCTCGCTTTTCCCTTTTCGACATCCCGTTCCTGAAGCGCACGCTGCTGCCGCGACTGCTCGTACTGGTCGCGAGCTAGTCTGACAAATTCCTGGCGCTCAGGCTCCGTGAGAACGTAGCGCATGTCGTCGATGTTCTTGCTCCGCAGAAAGTCATGTCGAAGCTGAAGGACAGAGATAATGGCTCGGCCAGTCTCCTCCTGAGACGCAAAGGCCGTGTCATATTCCGAGCCAGGCTGAGGAGCGCCAGCTGGATCAGTGTCCGCTAGCTCCGTGGACTTCCTCTTTTTGAAAAGCAAGAGACTGAGATGAAAGAGGACTTTCGGATCGTACTCATCGTCGTACCTTTCGCCCCAAAACTGCCTCAGCTCCCTGTGCAAGTCGTTCGCGCGAGTTTGAACAACATCCTCGACGTAGTCGGGATCAGCCGGTGCAGTCGGTGAAAGCGGAGGAGTTGGGCTCGGCGACCGATCCCAGTGCACAGAAGAGTCGGCGTCCGCCTGTACGCTGGCGTCGGCGTCGGAGACGTTTTCGACGACAATCTTCCGCTTCTTGCTCTCCCCAGGCTGAGAAGCACCAGGGGGAGTGAGCACAACCGCCACGGCATCGTGTGCGTCGTTGCGCATGCCACGATCCGTAAACGACGCGCCAACGGCAATCGGGCGGAAGCGGGCGACTGCTCCGCAGACCGCGACGCGGTCGCCTTTGAGGTCGGCCGGAGTGGCAAGGACATCCCAGAGCTTCTCGTCGTCCTGCTGGCGCTGGTAAGCCTCCCGCGCCTCCTGGAAAGTCAGGTTGTCGTCGCCGACTGCGAGCAGAACGACTGGCACGTGCGGCTCCGAAGCATTGAGAAGCTGAGCGATGCCGTCCAGGCGCAATCGGAGATGGCGAACTGTCCGCTTTCGAGTCTGAATGCTCGGCGGTTTCTTGCCGCAGACGATGTGCATGTTGGCGATCACCACGTAGAACTTCTCATGGCCTGGTCTGTTCACCTCAAAGCGTGAGATGACGGCATCAATCTCTCGCCCGCTAGGAGGCCTGTAAACATGGCTGTCTTCGCACGGAGTCACTTCCGCAGGCTGAGAAGCACCGCGGAAGCCCCAGAGAGTCAAGTAGTTGTCGACCTCCGAGAAGCCAATGCCATCACCGAAAGGCTTACTGAGGATGTCTGTCACGTTGATCGCTGCTCGGCGAAAGCCTTCACGGAACGCACCGACCTCGCATGCACAGACAATGTCAGCATCAGCGTTCTGCACTATCGTGGCGCACACCCTTCCGAAGTTAGCGCAGTGAGTGGCCGCCTGCTTACCAGTCATCATGCCCTGCTCGAACCCGAAATTGAAGGAGGCGACCGTGAAAGACGCAGGCTGCGGAGCGCCAGGACCAGGCGTCTGTCGACCTTCCTCCGCAGGCTGAGAAGCACCGCGAGGCGGCGACACTTCGGACGAGCCTCGCGGAGCAGAGGCTGCGGATGAACGTTCCATATAGCGGTACGGCCAGGGGAACGCCATTGCAATCGAAACTCTGGTGACGAGGCACGTTGAGTGAAATGGACTGCAGTGTCACTAGCAACTCCTGAACCAAGCACGGCTGTCGCGGAAGGAATATAAAATGTGACCCGAGACTAACCTAGTGAAAACTCAGAGAAATCAGTGTGTGTGTGTGACGGCTGTGTCAGGGAATTGAAAGTTGAGATGTGACAGGTCGACAAGGACACTGTGTATGAGTGTTGCATGATAGTGAGAGAACGAGTGTTGCCCAGGAGTGTCGCCCAGATATGAAGTTCTGAGAGGTCACAGAGCACAAAGTGTGTGACTGTCGCGTGGGATTACTCTGAATGTATCCCGGGATTGCCGTTCCAGACAGCCAGATAGCCCGGCGTGTATACCTGTTGTGTGCGATTTTTCCAAATGTAGCCTGGGAATGGCGTTCTGGGAGGTCTCGGAGCACGAAGTGTGTGACTCTTGCATCCTGTTATTCCGAATGTGGCCTGGGAATGGGGTTCTGGGATGCCAAAGAGCTCGAAATGTGTGACTGTTGCATCCCGTTAATCAGAATGTGGCCCGGGAATGGAGTTCTGGGGTGTCAAGTACGAAGAATTGTATAGCTGTTGCGTCCGGCTATTCCGAAAGTGGCCCGGGAATGGCGTTCTGGGAGGTCAAGGAGCACCAAGTGTGTGACTGTTGCATCCGGTTATTCAGAATGTGGCCTGGGAATGGGGTTCTGAGAGGTCGACGAGCACGAAGTGTGTGACTGTTGGTGAAAAACGAGCCCGGTACAGGCCCGGCACCCTGCCGGCCGGCAACTCCCAACGCCTGCCCGGACCCCCCTGTGGAGTGATCTGTGAGCTCTTTTGAGTCAACTAGAAACCTATCAGTCTACGCTGTTAGGTAAAAACCCAGAAAACATGCACAAATTTGGGGGATCCTCTTATTTGTGTGTATTTATGTGTGTGTCTCCCCACGGTCACGGGCCGCGCCAGAGGCCCTTCAGCTCGCTCCGAGACGGCCATCAAGAGGCCCCCGAGAAGGCCCAGTCGGCGGCCCAGGGGGTGCCTCGGGAGCGCCCCAGGAGGGCCCCAAGAGCGGCCCACCTCCTCGTGTTCGTGCGCGTTCTCGTTCTCGTTCTTTGTCTTTTCCTCCTCCTCCTCCTCCACCTCCTCCTCCTCCTCCTCCTCCTCCTCCTCCTCCTCTCCTCCTCCACCTCCTCCTCCTCCTCCTCCTCCTCCTCATTGGACGCCCCCGGAGGCCATCAAGAGGCTCCCAAGAAGCCCCGCGAGGCTCCCAAGAGGCCCCCGCCCCCAGGGAAGCCCCCTGCGGGCCCCCAGGACACTTCGGTAAGTCGTATGTCCCAGATGGCTTTCCGGGAACATGATTCCTTGGGCTTCCGCCCACCACCGCACCAACCATGTTTCCAATTGGCATGCCGACAAGGTCAACAGGCGCCCCTCGGTAAGCCCCCAGAGGCCCCCCACTTAGAGAGCCGAACAAATCATGCTCCCAGAAAGCTTCCCGGGAACATGATTCTCTATCTCGGAGTAGGCCCGGGGGGGGGGGGGCGGGCCGCTGCCTGTTCCCCCCATCGGTGCCCACTGGGGGTTGCGGGGGGGTTCCAGAGCTCCTGAGGCGGCCCGAGCCCGCCCCGAAGCAGGCCACGACAGGCTAAGGGGGTCCCGAGAGGGCCCAAGACGGTCCCACGAGGCCCCGAAGACGGCCAAGATGCCCCTCAAGACAGCCGACGAGGACTCCAACACGCTCCAGGACGGACTCAAGAGGCTCCCCAAGAGGGCCCTGTTGGTGTTGGCTGAATGTTGCCGGCTCTGCGCCATGGTCTCACCCCGCGCCCTTCTGACGCGTGCTTGCGCCAGTAGCTTGAGCCCCTGCGATGCCACCGCGCGGCGCCTCGCGGGAGCTGCGGGGCGGGCACGGCCCAGCGAGATACGCGCCGATCGCCGAGGCCGACTCGGAAGACGCCGACGGCTCCGACGTCGAGTCGGCACTGTCGCTCTCCGAGGCCGAGGCCGACGCGAAGCACTCGGGCTCGGTGGGGGCGCTGGTGCAGGCCATCGCCGCCGGCAGGTGGTGGCCCATCACGCAGAGGGCGTCGGTGCTGGAGCAGGCGGGCCTGACGGGCCACCTGCTGCCCTTGCTGGAGAGCTTCGAGATGCCGCTGTACGCGTACTCGCGCCTCGCCGACTCCTACCTGGGGCTGGCGCGCCGGCGCTTCCTCGAGGTCGGGGACGACGATCTCGAGCACGGCGGCATTCGTGGCAGGGGGCCCGCCGATGCGGCCGCCCCCTCGCGGTTCGCGTGGCTGTTGTCGAACTATATCATGGTGCCCGGGATCTTCGCCGAGGAGTGGCTGGCGGCCTCGGAGACGCCGATGGTGGTGTTCGAGGGTAAAGCGGAGCCCGTGCCGATGGGCTTCGCCAGCTTCCCGGCGGCGATAGGAGCGTTCTACCTCAACCCGCGCGTCACGTGGAAGAGGAACGACATGACGTATGTGGTCGAGGGAGACTCGGGAAGGCTGCGGGTTGCGAGCGAGAATATAGAGTTGAAGGGTACGAGAGCGTTCGACATTCCAGAGAATTTCATGCGTGATCATCAGCTGTTTCGGGTGATGCCAGAGGACACGAAGAAGTTCGCATTTGTGTACCCGACACCTTTTTTTACCGCTGGGGGGTTCGTGTATTTGAACGCGGAGGCAATGCCAACAGCCGTGAACCAACTCTCAGTCAATTGTACCAGTCGCGGGTTCAGAATGGGGGGCATGCAGAGCATGGCCTTGGACGTGGCGAACCAGTTAGAGGCCAATGCGATTGCCACGACGCTGCCAGATATCAGTGGTAAGGGAGCTCGTCGTTTCTGCTTCGTTGGGCCAGGGCAGCTCGGAGATCGAGATTTCAAGAGCAACGTGTTTGGCGGATTCGCGTACTGGTTCGACGATGTCTGTAAACACCGTTTTTTCCCGATTCACGGATACTACGGAGTGGTAGAGCGGGGCCCATCCAGCGCGATCGGATCTTCCATGCTCTTCTCGGGGGAACGTAAGACTCGGGTAAGCCGGAACTCGGGTTTGCCGACGTTTTTTGACGAGCGTGTCCTGGATTTTGACGGTCCAGTTTTCGTGGGATGTTTGCAGTGGGAGCTCGCGTCAAATTTCAGATGGCGTCTCGTCATTTTTACTAGCCGGCCGCTCTGCGGTTGATCGGGAGTTTCTGTATATAGAAGAAGGTGCGTGCGCCTGTTGGTGAGGGTGAGGATGAGGTCCTCCTCCTCCTCCTCCTCCTCCTCCTCCTCCTCCTCCTCTCCTCCTCCACCTCCTCCTCCTCCTCCTCCTCCTCCTCCTCCTCCTCCTCCTCCTCCTCCTCATTGGACGCCCCCGGAGGCCATCAAGAGGCTCCCAAGAAGCCCCGCGAGGCTCCCAAGAGGCCCCCGCCCCCAGGGAAGCCCCCTGCGGCCCCCTGCGGGCCCCCATCCATCCCTGCGGCCCCCTGCGGGCCCCCAGGGAAGCCCCCTGCGGCCCTGCGAGCCCCCTCCTCCTCCTCCATCCTTCTCTTGCCTCCGTCTGTCCTCCTCCACCCCACAGCTCCATCATCTTCTCCTCCTCCTCTCCTCCTCCTCCTCCTCCTCCTCCTCCTCCTCCTCCTCCTCCTCCTCCTCATTCCTCCTCTGGGCACCTCCCCCGGGGCGCGGATCCACCGGATCTGTCCGGATCTGTCCGGAAACGGTGCCGGAGGCCGCTCTGGGCTCCTCTGGGCACCTCCCCCGGGGCCGGTTTTGTGAGGATGTCTCAAGCGAGGGCGCCGGTTTGGGATTCGTCACCGGATCCAGCGGATCCAGCGGATCCACCGGATCTGTCCGGAAACGGTGCCGGAGGCCGCTCTGGGCTCCTCTGGGCACCTCCCCCGGGGCCGGTTTTGTGAGGATGTCTCAAGCGAGGGCGCCGGTTTGGGATTCGTCGGCGGATCCACCGGATCCAGCGGATCTGTCCGGAAACGGTGCCGGAGGCCGCTCTGGGCTCCTCTGGGCACCTCCCCCGGGGCCGGTTTTGTGAGGATGTCTCAAGCGAGGGCGCCGGTTTGGGATTCGTCACCGGATCCAGCGGATCCAGCGGATCCACCGGATCTGTCCGGAAACGGTGCCGGAGGCCGCTCTGGGCTCCTCTGGGCACCTCCCCCGGGGCCGGTTTTGTGAGGATGTCTCAAGCGAGGGCGCCGGTTTGGGATTCGTCACCGGATCCAGCGGATCCAGCGGATCGGATCTGTCCGGAAACGGTGCCGGAGGCCGCTCTGGGCTCCTCTGGGCACCTCCCCCGGGGCCGGTTTTGTGAGGATGTCTCAAGCGAGGGCGCCGGTTTGGGATTCGTCACCGGATCCAGCGGATCCAGCGGATCCGTCCGGAAACGGTGCCGGAGGCCGCTCTGGGCTCCTCTGGGCACCTCCCCCGGGGCCGTTTTGTGAGGATGTCTCAAGCGAGGGCGCCGGTTTGGGATTCGTCACCGGATCCAGCGGATCTGTCCGGAAACGGTGCCGGAGGCCGCTCTGGGCTCCTCTGGGCACCTCCCCCGGGGCCGGTTTTGTGAGGATGTCTCAAGCGAGGGCGCCGGTTTGGGATTCGTCACCAGATCCAGCGGATCTCCGTCCGGAAACGGTGCCGGAGGCCGCTCTGGGCTCCTCTGGGCACCTCCCCCGGGGCCGGTTTTGTGAGGATGTCTCAAGCGAGGGCGCCGGTTTGGGATTCGTCCGGGATCCAGCGGATCTGTCCGGAAACGGTGCCGGATTCTGGGTGGGCACCTCCCCCGGGGCCGGTTTTGTGAGGATGTCTCAAGCGAGGGCGCCGGTTTGGGATCGTCACCGGATCCAGCGGATCCAGCGGATCCACCGGATCTGTCCGGAAACGGTGCCGGAGGCCGCTCTGGGCTCCTCTGGGCACCTCCCCCCGGGCCGGTTTTGTGAGGATGTCTCAAGCGAGGGCGCCGGTTTGGGATTCGTCACCACCGGATCCAGCGGATCCGTCCGGAAACGGTGCCGGAGGCCGCTCTGGGCTCCTCTGGGCATCCCCCCCGGGGCCCGTTTTGTGAGGATGTCTCAGGCGAGGGCGCCGGTTTGGGATTCGTCACCGGATCCAGCGGATCCAGCGGATCCAGCGGATCCGTCCGGAAACGGTGCCGGAGGCCGCTCTGGGCTCCTCTGGGCACCTCCCCCGGGGCCGGTTTTGTGAGGATGTCTCAAGCGAGGGCGCCGGTTTGGGATTCGTCACCGGATCCAGCGGATCCAGCGGATCCGTCCGGAAACGGTGCCGGAGGCCGCTCTGGGCTCCTCTGGGCACCTCCCCCGGGGCCCGGTTTTGTGAGGATGTCTCAAGCGAGGGCGCCGGTTTGGGATTCGTCACCGGATCCACCGGATCCAGCGGATCCGTCCGGAAACGGTGCCGGAGGCCGCTCTGGACTCGTGCTCTTCGCGCCGGGGGTGAGGATGACGTGAGTTCCACAGAAACTCCCTCAAATGATGGACCCCGTCAGGCCAACCCGCGTCCCCCGTACCCGAGTCTTACGTCTCCCCGACCTTCACTGGTAGTCCTTCGAGCAAAGAGGTCTACGACGGAATTCTTGCGAAGAGGAAGTTCGGGCGGTCGTCTGCTGCGACAATGCAGGACCTCAGGAAGCAGGTGGTTGTCAAGGTGATCAGGTTGAAGCAGAACGGCCTTACCCACCCTGTAGTCCTGAGGGGGCTGGTTTTCACGCCCAATGACAAGTCGTTAGAGTCCGAGCAAATTCAAGCGATCGTTTCAGCCGCTTTCACAGAGTGTTCGTTTGATCTATTCGGTGAGGTCATCATGAACATGTTTTTGTGGGTGTCGATATCGGTGTTTACGTGTCGTTACCGTACCTATTATTCTTTTGTACCGCCCCATCACCATTGGGCCACGTTCGATAATGTGTTATTATTCTTCGTCGTGATGCCCTGGCTTATCAATCTGGGCAAATTGCTGTTCGGTGTTCAAGGGCATCGCGTCACTTTTGGTCGTTTGGAGAACTACTGGCTGAGGCGCAACCGATTGTTAGTGTGGTGGTTGCAAACTGTTGTACAGCTAGTTGTCATCGTGCAGCTGTGGAGGGAAGGTAGGTCGGTATGGTTTCGTTCTGTGGCGTCTATTTCTTTAGCCTCTTGTGGCGCGCTGTTGTGGATACAGATGTTGTTTCTGGCAAGCCCATTTACCCCCATCGGCACACGATTTCTTCCAATTGTAAGCGCATGGGGCGACATGGCGTCTTTCCTCCTGGTGAGCGCGTTCCTACTTCTGGCTTCGGCCCAGGCTTCATACGCATTGACTGAGATGCCGCTGGCTACCATTGCGATTGACACCTACCTAATGGGATTCATCGGCGAAATACAGCCTCAGCTTTTCGTGGCGAAGACATTGGACTTAGACGCGAACCCGGATACCCTTAGTGGGTTGGATTCGACGGAGGTCCCGCGCATAGGATTCGGTTTCTTCATACTCATGGTTTCCAGCTTCATACTCATGGTGTCGATGGCGAACATCTTCATCCAAGTGATGGGTGACGCGTACAACAGAAACAAGGAAATGGTGCAAATCCAGCTGACACGGGCCCGCGCCGAGGAGAGCCTCATCACCATGCTGTGGATGGCTGGCGCGGCCTCGCTGCTGCCGCGGCGGTGTTGCCACCTCGGCCCGCGGGACAGGCGGGAGTTTGTCTGGTTCACGCGGGGAGAGCAGCGCGCGCCACGGGAGCGCACGCTGCAGGAGCTGGCAGCGAAGATTGATCACATCGACAGGCTGATGACCGAGACCGCCAGCGCCAAAACGTAATCGCGGCCTCCTGTCATCCCTGCGTCACTCCCGCATCATATTTTGTCCGCCCGCCTCCTGTCTGTTCCCCCCGCCGTGCGCCTGGTGTGGTAATGTGTCCAGCCGTGGTTCGTGGCC